TCTTCATGTTTGTGACAGACACAGAGGTGAGTGCCACACTGCTGCTGAGGGTCTGTGAGCTTCAAGTGCTATCTTTACATGAGGAGACCCTCGAAGGTCTTGGACCTCCTAGTGACCAATGAGAGTTCTCAGGAGGGGAAAGGGGGCTGTAGGGTCCCAGGGTTAGCTCCTTGTGCTCAAATCATTTGGGGACTTGGGCACATTGCTGACACCAAAGTTCACTGTGATGTGCATTTCCCTAAGGTAGGAAGAGCAGCACCGTCCTTAGGAGACTGAGCCTGAATGAGCAGGTGTATCTGAGCTCCATGGGCTACCACACAAGACTGTGTGACCGAAGAAATACCTGAGTCATTCTCTCCATGTGTGGGATGAGGACAGTAGTCACTTTCGCTGGTTTCGTGAGGCTTAGGTGGCAGAATGAACAATGGTGCCTAGAGTGGAGTAGGTGCCCCATGGACAGGTGTCTCCCTTGTCCTTTCTTTCCCCAGGGAGGAAGAGGATCTGTCCTCACAGCAGTGTTTAGTTGATGACGGTCCCTGTGCTCTAGGTCTGCAACCTTGTTTACTGTCACAAACGAGTGCACTGAGTGCTTTTGACACTTGGCTGACGTCTCTACACAGCGGTTCGTGGGGCTTAGCAGCCACAGCTCCAACCACTCATCTCACAGCTTTGAACTCCCAATTGTATATTTGGTGGAACTGCTTTATGATTCAGCCCTGAAATCTCTCTGCCTGAATTTATTTGTGTGAGAAGAAGTGGATTCCTGCTGCTGCTGTTCCTGGAGGCTGTGGAGTTCAACTGCTTATGGATTTGAATGACCCATCAGTCACACAGTGGAGAGGAGCCCCAGGGCCCTGGATGCCAGGCCCAATTATTTCCACCCAGTGTGTCTGGAGGGCACCAACAGGAGGCCTGTGGATCAGCTGAGAGCAGAGCACGGTTCTGAACATCCCTCTGAGGCCCCTGGAACTCCCCTTCTCACAGAAAGTCACAACCAGCTCTGCTCCTGACCATCAGCACATCCATCCTCAGCAGAACAGGAGAGACCTCAAGGGCCTGCTCAATCACTGGGACCTTCTGGGGACTTTCTGGAAAATAGCTACTGAAGGAACCCTGCACGTCACCACTACAACCACAAAAGCAAGTGGATACGCCATTGATACTGCACAGCTGTGGGTCTGTGAGCTCAGTGTCTAGGGGCCTCCTGTGTGACACCAGGCTTGAGCCAGTCCTGGTAGAGTGATGGCCAGGGGGGCCCGTGATGACCAGGCCACCAGGGCAGAGAGTGAGGAGGAGCCCCTGATGGCTAGGCCACTCTAGCTCTTAACCACAGCAATGGCTTTTGGAAAACTCGGATGTTAACTGTATGGATTTTCTATAGGCCAAATGAAGCTATAGAAATTCCAAGACCTTAAAATCACATTTTCCCTCTCCCTGAAGTAGAGCTCCCTTTGGAGAAAACTCAGGATCAATGTTTCTGTTCCTCTTTCATTACAGCGCGGCAGAGGCTGCTATTACTCGGTCAGTGAGGTGACTGAAGACTGTGCAGTGCTCCAGGGCTCTGCTCTCTGGTGTGGCTCTGGCACTGGGTTGTGGCCTATTTCCTCTGCAGTCGGCTGCATCCCTGTCCCTGTGTGTCCTCATCTGCATGTTCAACTAACTGTGGATCGAAAATATTAGAGAGAACAGGGCGTCTGCACAGATAGCCTTTCTCTTCATTAGTTCCTAAGCAGTGCAACTATTTACATAGAATTCACATTCTGTTAGGTTTTATAACTCATCTAGAGATAATTCAAAGTGTCAGGAGGACATGGGCAGGTTACATGAAATAGCATGCCTTTCAGTCTCAGTACCTGTGGGGTCCTGAGCCAGCGCTGGTGAATACCTGGGGGGGGGGCAGTTGTAAATTGCCCTGTTGGTCCCTCTCACAGAGGGACGGGCTTGGCATATGGGTTGCTTAGGACAAGAGACCATAGCATGTGTCACCTGGCAAGACCTGGAAACTCATGGAGAGTAGGCCTCACCCTTTCTTGCTGCCCTGGGGATCCCTGCCCTGGTTGCCCTGGGTGAAGCCTGATATAGGGCCCTGGATGAGCAGGGGACATGTCCAGTCACTGTCACTGTGGCCACAGCAGCCAGTATCCTAAGCACGGCCACCCAGATGATCAGTCAGCTGCTGACTACAGCAATGAGAGGGCTTGTGGGGTCTGGGAGGCAGCCATCCAGCTGTGTCCAGCACAGGTTGTTGACTTCAGAATCACGAGCTGAATAAAGAAACCCAGACCAATCCAGAATGATCTGTTGTGCATCAAATGCTAACTGATATATGTTCCTTTATCATTTTACAGGATAGGAAATAGTGCTGGTCAGTTTCTGTACACAGGATGACATCTCTTGTCAGTTACTACTTTTTTCTTTATTTACTGAAAAATGGAATAAAAAGCAGCATAGCTACCCTGTAAGAATGTTTCTGAGAAAATATCTGTCATTTCATAAAATTCCTAAAAGACCTCATTCACCACCCTAGGACCCCTAAACCCTCCACCAGTGTGTAAACAGCCCTGGTGGGGTGGAGCAGCTGCAGTGCCTTCTGTTTTCTTCCCCTCAGAGTTTCCAGGTGGCACTGCTGAGTCTGACTGAGCTCCTTGAGGTCAACCAGAAGTCTCTCTGGTGCCTGAGCAGCAGCCTGATGTCTAAGCCACCCATGGTATTAGGAATGCCCTTCCATGGCCAAGAAATGAGTGCGAACATACTCCATCTTACTATTATCATCAAAGATCACTCCAAAAACAACAATGAGCAGGCACTATTACCATGAGTAAGAACCCTGTAGCCATCTTGCTAGAAACTATCTCGGGCTACGCCACCATTGCAAATTAGAGGGACACAATTGTTGGCACAGTTCATCTCCCCAGACATCTACACAGCCTGTCAAAACCTTGCACCCTGAAGGACAGACAAGTTTGCCTCCCAGCACCGCCTCCTGACTTAATGCTGACAGTGCCTCCTTTGGATAGATGCCAGCTCCTGCAGAGCCCTGAGCCTCGCAGCACTTGGTGAAGCCATTGTGTGCAGAAGAACCATTAGGATTCACTGACAGATGTCGGAAATGTGGATGAGATGTACTGCTCCTATGGGAGCATCCAGACTCCACTGCTCCAAACACCTCCCTAGGGCTCGGCAGTGATGGAGCCGGCAGGAAGCTGATGAGGGCTATACTGGGCTCTCCCTTCCTCCAGGCTGCTCCTCCAAAGAGGTCCAGGTTCTCCATAGGCTCCCACACAGGTGATGGCCTGAATCCAGCCCCCATCCTATGGTGGATGGCAGGACTCCACTTACTTCAGGGGCTCTCTCCCCTGTGTCCTGGGGCTGGGTTCTCCTACTGCCTGCTGCTCCCCAAGTCACTTTGACTGCAGGAGGCAGAGCCAGGAGCTTCTGCAGTGACCTCTGGTCCTGCTTGGAGCTGAGCTCCCTGGGACACTGGGCCATAGGCCTCCTCCTCTGCCTGGTCCTATAGCAGGAGGCCAGGCAGCACGTGGGCCTCTGCTGTCACGGCCTCAGAGGATTGGATGCTCCTGCAGCCCTGGACCAGAGCAAGAGCTCTCCCAGCTTCCTCAGGCTCTGGGTGAGCTGAGTCAAGTTCCTTCTCTGCTAACTCACAGTGCCTCCCAGCAAGATGGTCCCTTGGAGTCCAGGGCCACATGTGGCTCACTTTGTAGCACAGACTCAGATTTTCCTCCACGTTCTCCCCTACTGGCTGGAAGCCCCCTTGGGTTGTGCTATCTTCCTGTAGCCTCTAGGGCTGGTCCTCCCTCCCTCCTTGGTGGTGGCTTCAGCCTCCTGCCCAGCTTGGCCTTCCTGTGTGAGCTCTGCCCAGCCTCCCCTTGTGCCTCCTCCATCACACATGGGTCCCATGGGGACAGTCGCCCACAGAGCCCTGGGTCAGGCCACCTTCACAGACACCCAGGAGGTTTATAATATTCTTGGCTCACTTCACCACTCTAGCCATCCTGACTCCTCATGACCTGAAGCTCCAGGCCACTGACCTTGGGTGACAGGGACAGCACAGCTCTCTCCTTTCTCTTGGACAGAACACAGCAAGACATATCCCTTCTGTGCTATCCCCAGAAGGCCAGTATCCCCTATGCTTGGCCTCAGGGTCCTCCCCTTGCCTCCATGTCTCCCCTGATCAGAACTCTCCCTCTGCCTCCAAGACACCCCTGCTCACCTGAGCCAAAAACAAACACCCTTCCCTGTGACCACATATACCATAGCCCTCCTGAGCACCAAAGCTTGCTTCTCACAGACCAACCAAAGCACAGTCACCTCCCTGCTGCAGGTCCTGGGAGGACACTGGCTGCCCCCCTACAGCAGGGCAGTGTCTTGGGTGTGGGGCTCCCTCCTGTGATGCCCTGTAGCACTTCTGAAGGGAAGTGGGCAGCCTGAGACCAACCTGTACATCTCTGTGAAAGTCACTCAAGCCCCTTGCTGCAGGGACCATGGAGAACTGGCTCGTCCACTGGTTCAGCCTGACTTCCCTTTCCACAGCTATGCTGTCCAGCAGGTGATAACTGTATGAATGCCCTCTAGGTAGGAACTCAGGAATGCCAAGGTAGGGAACCCCATGAGACAGCAAAGCCCCTCCCCAGCAGACCCCACACACATGCCAGCAGCATTGTGTGGCTCTGGGACCATGTGTCCCCTCTCTTGTGGCTCCCTTTGCCTGACCTCTCCCAGAATGTCAACAGCAGGATCCCACTTGACCTACTGGTGAGGTGCTGATGTTGTTGCCCTGCCCCATGGCCATCACCTGGGGCCACCTCTGTCAGGAATCATGGTAGAAGCCCCCGTTCTTCATGCCCCTCCCCTTTCTCCACTCCTTCTGTCTTTCACACTCAGTTCCCTCAATCTTTCCGTATCTCTGTGTGTTGGTGTCACCCTCGTCATGCCTAGCGACCAAGGTCCCCATGCCCACTGCCCCGGCCCGCACATTCTCTGACCTCCAGCTCCTGTAGCTCCTCCTCCTCCACATCGTAGGACAGTGTGTGGATCTTGATGTCATCAGGAGAAAGGTCCAGGAACTTCCCATCAGGATACTCCAGGCTGTCTTTGGTGGGCGACCGGTCCTCGATGAAGGTGGTCTCACAGCAGTCGGTGGCCACACCGTCTCCCCAGGAGCGCAGCATGCCCTCAGAGTAGAGAATGAGGTTGGGCCGGTACCGTGACTCCACTGACCTCTGCAGGGCGTTGGGGTCCAGCAGCTGCTGCGCAGACTCTTTCCCCCCACTGTCCATGCTCCGGTGGCTCTGGTACTGGGGCGTTGGGTACATGGACACCAGGCCATCCCTGTTCTCGGCCATGAAGTTTCTGGTGTTGATGAGCCCATTCCTTGGGCCAGTGTCCAGGACCTTGCTGCACGCCAGCTCACTCTTTGGCCCGGCAGGGCCGTCCATGGTGCTGGCTTCCATGCCAGGCATCCGGCTGCACAGGACACGCAGGTCACACTTGCCTTGAGGAACCCATTTGTCCTGGGGAGCAGGAAGCAGAGAGCAGATGAGAACTGAGCTCAGAACCAAGCTCAGCACCCAACCCATTCTGGGTCCGGTAGACTCATCCCTGGCAGGCACAAAGGCTGTGGGAGTCAGAATCACACAGACCTGCCAGCTCCCTGGATTTTAATGGCTCCATCAGGGTGCCAGCCAGACTTTGATAGCCCAAGTCTCTGCAAAGTCTGCTTCCATGTGAAGGAAACTGCAGACCTCATGTCTGCAGCTGGCCTCTGAAATCCCCAAGTTCTCATAGACACCCCAAAGTCCAGGGTGGTCCGGCCACACTGGTGCCTACTTTCCCTAGGGGAGCTCAGCCCCAGTCTGCAATGGGCCTTGCTCTTCCAGGAACTGGGTGGGCATTCATTCAACACATGCAGGAAGAAAGGATTCAGCACAACATCCTGCACAGATTCAGAAGTGACAAGAGGCCCACATCTTAGTGCAGGACATGGATAAGAACCCCCCACCAAGGAGACCCAGGCAGGAATGGACTGGTAGGCTCAGTGTGCCCATCAGAATGAGCTCAGCACCCCTTGGCACAGCCAGGAATTGCACCAGAATCTTCCCTGCCCTGATGTACTTGATTTAGTGAAAACAACGTGTTTTCTGACTAGACCATGTTCCTATGCAGGCTTGCAAATGAGGGGGAGAGAGAGAGAGAGAATATGAAGAAGAAGGAGGAGGAGGAGGACAAAAGAAAATAGAACAGATTCTAGAGTTTAAGATTTTGGGAGTGATAGAGAATGAATTTCCTCAGGCCTATTCTATGTGCAAGTTAATAACTATTATGTATGAAAATATTTTATCTCCAGCACTTGTGGAGCTGTGGCTTTCTATAAGATGTAAGAATTTTGTTAATTATAACTGCTTATGTGGTGGGAGATAGAGTAAAGTTGCAGAAAGACTGAAAGAGAGAGGTAGTTAAAGTTAGCTTGGTGACTTGTGTAGAGAAATCTGAGAGAACATTTTCAAATAGCACTGAGAGTGAGTGTTACTGTAACACCATGCACTTAAGAGAGGTCAGAAACACAGTGTCTTCTCTGCAGTTGTGGCTTTGAAGCATCTGTCTCTGGAGGCAGATTTACAATCTGAAATTTCAAATCATTAATTGAACAAAGATCTCCTGGGTGTCTGCACACACCGTACGTAACATGTTAGCCATCCCTGTTTGTTCAGAGCCTTTCTTCTGCTCCAGTGAAGTGGGTTGGATGGAGGAGTTCTTTGTTCTCCTGTGGAGAAGCCCACAGCTGGGCTCTCTGGATGGGTTTCTCCCACTGTGTGACCTGGGTACACCAGGAGTCTGGGGTGACCTTGAGCTGAGCTCTGCATCTCACTCCAAGCTCCTTTCACCACAGCAACTGTGGTTCTCTTGGAGAACACAAGTAACTGGGTTTGTTCAAATCTCACTTTCTCCACTGAGTCACATGTTCTTGCCCAGCCAGACAGAACCATCGCTGGTGGTTCCTACCCCGTCTCTAGCTCCCTCTCACTATGCCTATGGAACCTTTTCAGCCAGTGTGATGAGTCCCAAGGTCAGTATCCTCCTACTGTCCCCAACAGGGGGCCTTGAGACCATAGAGTCTGTATTCCTACTTCCCTCCTCTTCACCCAGCAGGCAGCAGGCAGCAATGAGCATGTGTTGAAGTAGAAAGTTCCCAGTGTTGTGATGAGATGACCCCTGCTTAGCCGTGACTGTTCTGAGTGTTGTGTGTCCCCAATGTTGAACCCAGCATGAGGGCTTTGGGGACTGGCGCAGCTCAGAACCCTCTGTGCTGTCTGCAGTTCTGTTCACAGAGCTGCTAGTCACTCAGCATCTTCTGGGTTTGGTTAATGGGGTGCAGCTCTGTGGTGGAGCACATGCCTGGCATGAGGCCCTGGGCTTGACCCCAGCACTGGGGAAGAAACACAATCCTGAGGGACCCACACCTCTGAGATTGGAATCTGCTCTGGGGTGCAGGAGTTCTGGGGATTAAACCCAGGGCCTTTGCACTGAGCGCATCCCCATCCCCTTTTACTGTTTATTTTGAGACAGTGTCTTGCCAAGTTGTTCAACTGCCCAAGCTGGCTGAGAATCTGCATTTTAACAGGATCCTTGCAGCTTAGTCTAACTTTAATCCTGAGCAGCATTTTCCTGCAGTGGAGAGAGCAGGTGTTGGCCTCCTGTGCCAGCTGCTTGGTTTTATGGTTGGTTACTTACTCTCTTTTTAAGTATTGTGATAGATACAGGTCGAGCATCCCAAATCCAAAGTGCTCCGAAGCCTGAAACATCCTGAGCCATGACTCAGCGCCCCCAGTGTCCTCATGGGATCCACAGTTGAGACCCAGGTGTGCTGAGAACATGGCTGTGTGTCAGGTGCATAGGAAATATGGACAGGCTCTGTGTTCACACTGGGGGCCTGTCCCCAAGACACCTCATTATACACATATTAATATTCCAAAACCCCCAAAACGGAAAATCTGACACATTTCTGGCCCCAAGCATTTTGCATGAGGAGTATTCAACCTGTTAATCAATCAATTCATATATGAAAACATTTTATGTGTTTACTTTTATTAGTGTATCTTAGTGACCCAGACAAAGTGGGCTTGATTTTGATGCATTTGTATATGCATAACATATTTTGATTATTTTTAGATAATATTTTTTTCTTATTGAAGCAAAGTTTTCAGGCATCATAAATGAAGTTTGAGTGATAAGGGTTCCACTGTGCAGTGGCAGCATCCTTGATGTCTCCTGAGAGTGGGTGGTGATGGAGGCTATTTCTGACTGTAATTCCACCAGCATGCTTCCTTCTATGGATCCACCTGTTCCTGCTGCTCACAGCCTGTCCCTGGACTGAGTCTGTCCCTTCAAATTCCCCAGGGGGAGCTGCCATAGGGACATGGCATCCAGGATGAGCCACCACTTCACCATGGCACCCCAGAACCATCAATTGCTCTTCACTGCCCTTCCTAACAGATGCTTTGGTTTGTTTTATAGTTTTCCCCCTCAGTCCATGATCTTTAGAACCACTGGCTGCAGTCAAACACTTCTAGCCTAACCATTCATGTCTTCTAGAACTCTGCTGCCTCTGGAGCTGCTTCTCCACATGGCTTTCTGGGCAGTGTGGACAGCTGAGCTCATGACCTTTCCTAGTGAGCCTTGAGCCTGATCCTCTGGTCTGGCAGAGGCACTGGCTGCATGGCATCACCAATCACTCTCGATCACCTGCTGGGGGAGGAGACAGTGCAGAGGCCCCTCGGGCCCTGCACCTCAGTTCCACAGCTTCTCCTTCCAGGTCCTGGCACCGAGACCCTGGTGAGCCAGTAACACACACATGTGTTTAGAAGAACAGCAAGTGGATAAGAGAATTGATGGGACCATGAAGGAGAGTAGGTCCACAACAGCCTCAGCACTAATGCACACTGTGTAAGAACACATCTCCTTTCCTTGGCAGCTGCAAAGGTGTCAGGAGCCCATGTGAAGAGCCGGGAGGCCAGGGGTTGAGCCCCAGTTTTTCTGGAGATCATCTTAGGGTTGTGGGCAGGGCACTATGAGCATGGAACCATAGAAGAGGAAACACTTGAAGGTCCTTTCAGCTTTGAGATTATTACAGTTTGGACCCAGAGTCAAGGGATCCTACAGAATCAGACAGCTTTTTATCAATCTGGCTTCTCTGTGAATTCTACCAAGTACTCAAGAACTAATACTGGCCTTCTCAAACTTGTTCAAAAGGCTGAAGCTGAGGGACCCTTCCTGACTTACTCTGTGAAGTAGCATCACCATGACACCAAAGCCAGACAAGAACATTACAGGAAAAGAAAACCACAGGCCAATCATCCTTATGCATAACATGCAAGATCCTCCATATGGTTCCAGCAAACTGAATTCAGCAGCAGATGGAAGGAATTGCACTCCACGACCAAGTGGGGTTTTTGCCCAAGATGCAAGGATAATTTAACATATGAAAGGTAATCATATGACATGCCAATTAACAGAACAAGTGATGCAGAAAAAGCTTTCAACAAAATTCAGCCCATGGGACCAGGGTTGTAGCTCATTGGTGAGCGCTTGTCTGACATGCCTGCGGGCCTCAGTGGTGAAGCCTGAAAGATTGTCCTGTAAAACCGGGGCACACACGCCTGCCTCTGTCACTCCTACCCAGCACTGTCCTGGATGGTTTAGTTGGAGGAGTTAGGCAAGAAAAATAAATCAAAGACAAACAATTCAGAAAGGAAGAGGTAGAATTATCTCTGTTCACAGATGAAATGTAGAAAACCTTAAGGATTCCACATAAAAAACTGTGAGAATAAGTGAATTTAGCAGAATAGTATATGAAGTTAATATGGAAATTCAATTCCATTTTTACACACCACAATAAACAATCTGAAAGGCAAATGACAAAACAACTTCATTTATAGTAGCATCAACAAGAATATAATCCTTAGGAAATAATTAAACAGGGTGGTGAAAGATTTATACAACGAAGGCAACAACACATTGCTGAAAGAAACTAAGGATATAAATAAATGGAAAGTCCCATGTTCATGGTTGGAAACCTCAACATTGTTAAGATATCACTACCAACCAAAGCAATCTATAGACTCGAAGCAATCCCTACCAAAATTCCAATGATGTCTTTTGCAGAAATAGAAAAACCCATGTTTGCTCTTACATGGAATCTCAAGGGACCCAGAGTAGTCAACAATCTTGAAAAAGAACAGCAAAGCTGATGGATCAAACTTCATGATTTCAAACTTAATTGACTCATGATTTATTTAATACTACATTAATCAAAACAGGGTGCATGAGGGATAGAGACAGACAGGTGTGACTATGGAAGAGAGATCTCAGAAATAGGACACGTGTGCATACATCAGATAACTTTTGACAAGGCTGCCAAGGCCAGTAGGAGGGGAAAGGCAGTCTTTACAACAAATAGTGCTCAATGATTCTTGATGATTAACCAGAATGAAGTTGAATCCCAGTGACCCCATAT